TGTGATCCTAGGTGTGTCAGCTCACTGTCCACCATCAGTGGTTGGTGGGTTTCCAGGTGGAAGGGGCTGACTTCACAAAGGTGTGGGCCCAGGCTCACTGGGGGGATCACTTGGACCCTAAGAATTGAAGCCAGCAAGGATGACTAGGATGCTGTGCAAAGGAGGGACCTATCTGAGGAGGTCAGGGCCGGGCAGACTGACACTCCGGCCCTTCTCTGGGGGCTTTGGCTTGTGACCTGGCTGAGCTTCCAGCGTGGGGGGTGTATGGGTGCTGGAGAAGTGTTTTGAGATCTCCAAACTGACTTGGTCTCTCCTCCAGACCCTCACACCAGCCCTAACCTGTGGCACACGGCACACGGGAACACTGCCTAGCTCTGAGACCCTTCTTTTGTCCCCCTAAGACTGGCACCTTTCTCATCTTCTGCCCCACATCCCTATTAAGGCTAAAGCCACTTAGGACCTGAAGGAGCAGGAGGCAGGCTGGGGCCCATGGGACCTAGGGTCTGCTATAGGTATAGGCCTGTTCTTGGCAGCTGCCTCTTAGGGATTCTGGGAGTTGGTCTGGAACCTGGTCAAGTCTAGAAAGACCTTCATTCACCTACAGATGTCTAGACTTGTCCCTCAGGTGTCACTGTCCCAGGGACTTCTGGGGAAGGGCCTTGCAGGACCTGTTGGCTGTAGCCATGGGCAGGGGTGTCTGTCTGGCACAGGACTCTCTGGATGGTTGGCAAGAGGGAGGTGGAGGTGCAGAGTGGTCCCCTGGTTGCCCAGGATGCTCCTGCTCCTGTCCGGCTTGTTTCAGAGCAGCCCTTGTTCCTGTCTTCCTGGTGAAACTGATAGTGAAGAGTCCTAAGCCTCCGTGTGTCTGACTCTCAAGTCAAAAGATCAAAATAAAGATGAAATATCTGAGATGCCTTGTGGATGAGGTTTTGTGTCTTTGTCAGGCATTCAGTCCACTCCAGACCTCACCTCCCAGCCTGACTCTCAGGCTTTAGCTGTTTATGAGTTAGACAGCCTTGTCCTGTTCCATTCCAGGTGCTCATGGGCAGCCCTTTAGGCCTGTGCATTTAAGTTTGACTCTTGTAGCCCCCAACCCCGTTCCTACACCATCCTCCAGATGTGAGGATGCACCCATTCCTACACCATCCTCCAGACGTGAGGATGCACCCATTCCTACACCATCCTCCAGACGTGAGGATGCACCCATTCCTACACCATCCTCCAGACGTGAGGATGCACCCATTCCTACACCATCCTCCAGATGTGAGGATGCATCCCATTCCTACACCATCCTCCAGATGTGAGGATGCACACATTCCTACACCATCCTCCAGACGTGAGGATGTACCCCATTCCTACACCATCTTCCAGATGTGAGGATGCACACATTCCTACAC